GAGCATTCTCATTCCCAACGCGTAACATACAGACGATTTGTCACATATGTATCAGATTTAGATAACAGCTCAAATGGAGACAAACTTACTCAGGTCCACTGAAGATAAAGTTCTTAAAAAGAAAACTTTTTGATCATATTTTTTCTACATACTTCACTACTAAAGGTATTTTTGACTGTGTTGATGGTCAGTTTTGTCAGTCACAGCTCTAGTTGTCTGAGCACTGTCCAGCATCGGGGTGGCTGTAGCTCAGGAGATAGACCAGGTTATCTACAAACCAGTAGGTTGGTGGTTCCATCCCTCACTGCTCCGTGTGCCGAATATGCATGGGAAAGATGTTAACGGCAAGTTGCTCTCTGATTGCTGTCTGTTCTCGGCATGAGGATGTGTGTAAATGTTAGACAGAAAGAATAGTTTGAATGAGGCATGTTGAATAAAGCACTTAGAGTAGTGAGGTGGAGTACGATATACCAACCAGTTCATTTACCATTGGCTTTCTAATGGTCCAGTGTTTCAAATTTTTGTTGTGGAATAATGAAATGTTCTTTTGACATGTTTTTATTGGAGATTTAGTATCGGAATTTCAGGAGCGTGACCACGCCTCCAAACACCCTCCTTCCAGTTGTCATCTATATATGTTTCCTCAGTTCTACAAGCAGTTCATTCTCATTTGCCCCACCATCCCTTCCCCTTTTCAATTCTTTAGCTACTTCACTTCCATTTGGTACATGGGGATCTGCCAGGCCCCTTCGTGGCCTTCCCCAAACCGCAGCTCAATTCATGTCCAAGCCATTCACCTTTACCTACTAAAATGCTGCCAAACCTAAAATGAGGATGTGGGCCCAGTGAATTATAACATATGGATATTATTTTCTAGTGCTTCTGAGTTTGGTTATTTGCCACTCTTGATTTCTTGTTTAGTTATGTCAGTTCCCTGTGATGTCCAGTCTATCCGAGTCTCATCTCTGTGTCTTGTCCTCACTGCCTGCTGTTGGAATTCAGTATTGGTTCAATGTTAGTTTATCTTATGTCAGTTTGCTTCTGGTCTTTGTTTCATCTTCCCTCATAACCTTATGCTGCATGCTCATCTGTCTGCGTTTATCGCTGGTCCTAGTTTATCAGTCTGTTTTGCTCATCCGCTGCTCTGTTATTATTTTTGTTAACTCAGTCTGCTGCCTGCAATTAAGATGTGTTTAAATTTAGTTATGGTCTGATGAGTCCTACATTGGGTTTTCAATTTAATTACTTTGAACTTCTTTCAAATAAGTATGAAAGAACAAATCGAGTAACACACTGTCAGAGGTTTACTTACAATACAATACAAAATACATACTTCCAGCCTTGATCACAGGTGCATGCCATGGCAAAGCCAATCACATGTAAGCATATGTCATAGTAGTAACTAGTAACATGTTGTATCACATAGTTGCTGCTCATACAAATGTCACTTTCAACAACATCCCAAATATGCTCCACTGGACTGAGATCTGGTGATTATGGAGACCAGTAGGGTCGTGTTTCTCCAAACTTCTATTGTGGAATTTTGGTGAAAAATCTGTGCAAAATATAGCCTCCGTATCCTGTTCTTAGATAACAGTAGTGACCACCAGTGTGGTCTGCTGTACCCCGTCTGATTCAAGGTCAGATACTTTCAGAAATGCTCTTCTGCTTACATTTTTCCAACAAGCGACTGAGTTACTGTTGCCTTCCTATCAGCTCAAAATTCTCCACTGAAAAAATGAGAGCAGCCCATCTGGCATCAAGAACCATGTCACTTTCACTCACCTTTCTTCCTAATGCTTGGTTTGAACTTCAGCAGTCTCTGCCATGTCTACATGCAAATTAGTAAAGTTTAAAAGAAATCCTTCACATTTCCTTTTTGTGTTTGAACACTTTTTATTTTTGCAGTACTCTTTCTAAAGTCAGTAAGGTTTTGATTAAAGTGAAAAAATATTTATTCACTGTAAACAGAGTTGAGGTGACTGGCTGACATCGACCTGTTATAATTGTTAGCCAGCAACAGCAGTCTAAGCACAAGAGCAGAGATACAAGATCAAGGTGGGAAGCTGAACGATAACGAGGAAAAAAAAAGAAAGAGTGTACAAGTAGGAGGGTAAAGGATGTGATTGGGTTAATAACAGGGTGTAGCTTTCTGTCAGGAGACTGGCCCTCGTCTCTCTTGTTTCATGTCTCATGTCTTTCATGCTTGTCATCACCTCAATCTAGAATAACAATATCAGATAACATTATTCATAGTAGTTAAATTTAACACCGAATTTCTACATCTAGCTCTACTGAATAAACTGTCCGTTCTCGTAATTTCTCTTTCAATCTTTTTGGAGCGTGAAGGTCCGACTCAAGTTCTATGATCATAGTTTGACTGCCAAAAATAAAGATGTGAGCTCAGTCAAGGGAATTTGACTGATTCTTCTAAACCACAGGAGTCATGTGTGAAATATCTACGTGCTTACACAGCAACAACTCAGTCAAGAGTATAACTAAACAGTGAAGAAAATCGAAACGTTACAGACTGATATGTTAAGTGAATAAATTCTTCTGTTATGCAGTGGTGACCACAGCTTGTCAGAAGAGAATAATACGCACACAGAATTAATATGGAATCAAAAGAAATGATAAAAACATATAATCTTAGAGGAAACTGGTAACTTAATGTAGTCTCATAAACAAATGTCAGTTTCTGTGGTAACAATATTCTGCTAATATACAAGTTAAAGGTAAATGATTGCAGGTGTGTCACACCACCTCCTCCCTGGTATCCATTCCTCAGGGATGCCCCCTCTCTCCAGGATTGTGTTAAACAAAGACCACTTAAAAAGACCACTACCCTCTCTCCTACATATCCATACTGCCACAGGTATGTCATACCTTCCTACCTTCACACCTGCCTTTCCGCTCTTCTTCCTCTTCCTAAGTGCCCTCATTACTAAATTTTCTCCCGCCATCATCTTCTTTTTCATTTTCCTTATTCTTGTTTCTATAATAATCTTTGAAGTTTACTTTGAAATTGCTTTTGCCCTAACCCCATGGATTGGGAACTATAGGCCTGATGTAAGGAATTATGAATACACAGTAACACCCAAGACTCCAAGTGACCCAAGCAGTAAATCACACTTGAGTGAAGGGTTTGTTATTTTGGCTGATTGCGTTTGGCTCAGTTGAAGGAAGCCTCTCAGTTTAACCTCTGATTTTCTGTCTCTTGCCCCGATAAGGCCTGCTGGCCAGCTGCACGCTGCGTGCTATGTGTGGAATGTGAGGATATCTATGCTTAGGTCGAGATGGACGGACAGTGAAGGTGAGGAAGAGAGGAGAAGAGACATTCCCTGTTCCTTAACCCCAAACCTACAGGTCATGCATCTGTATCTATCTGGCAGATAGCAGGTTACACTAAATTATGAATTGACCAGTTTTAGATTTCATATACGCACATAGATCCAAATATAGCAACGTATCTCTTTGTCATGAATATTAAGTGTTATATACATACTCAGTTCCTATGAAGCTGTTATTACATGGCAGTACATGAAGTAGTAGAATTTACTACTAAAAAGGTCTTGTCATCGCAATAAAATTAAACTGTAGTGAGTTATGATCACTATAATCTTTCTTTTCCCCATTTTGTTTGGCTTATTTTAGCGCGAATCAAAAACAGGTGTCAAAAAAAGGTGCACGAACTCTTGGTTTATGGCCAGCATTAGCACATGTATTGTGGTTGTGAATACAAACAGTCAGCAAACATGAACATCGGGTACAGCTGTCTGGCAAATGTGAATCTATATAAAAACCTGTGGGAGTTTGGAAAGCAGAAAACAATTCCTGTGTCTTTCCTGTTTTGTTCACCAGTTTGTTACCACTACTGTACTACTTTCACTTAATTTCCAAGATTATTGTATACAAAAACATTATTTATCTAAAACGGTGGATCATGACCAAAGGAGGAGACAATTTAATTTTATTTGGATCTGGGAATGTGATTTAATATTATTATTATTATTATTATTATTATTATTATTATTATTATTATTATTATTATTATTATTATTATGAGTCAAGGTTTTCCCCTTGCATGAAAACACATTTTCTGAGTGCCATTAAGATTTGAATTCAAATACAATTTTCTCGTTGCTATACACACACTTTTATAAAGTAAAGTAGCAGCAAAACAAATGATAAATAACCATTAATACTGTAACTTCGCACACCTTGTCTAATTGTGTTTGCCCTTCGTTTACTAAGTGATAATTATCATTATCTGTGCACATTAAACTGAATATACAATATTAAGAAAGGTAACAGAAAATTAAAACTCTTATGACCAAAGAAGATAATATATAATTTATAAAGGTCTGGTTCTCAGGTGAATGAATATACAATTTGATCCTTTGTGTTAATAAACTGCCACACCCAAAATTGCCCATAGGAGTTTTTCTTTAAACCAAACACAGTTCAAATCTGATTTTTTTTCCCCCCTACATACAGACTCACACAGACCACACCCTCCTGTTTGGAGAAGCACTGAATAAGAATTTCCACAAACGTTGATCCAGACCACTGTTTTTGACTCCTAGCCTAAAGCTGTCTAGCTTTGATCCTGAGCTCCCTCGGCCAACCTCAATGTGCTGCTTGTTTGTTCAGATCTAGTCGGCACAGCTATACTGTGATACTTCTGAACTGAATATCAAGAGAGTGATAACAGAGGTGCTTAATGCTGCTTTTATGTGAAGGATCTGAACATTTTCACCAGGAAAAAATGTAAAGCAGTTCAGTGTTTTGTGTTGGAGGAAATTACTGTCTAAATGCCGCCTTGTACCTGTTGCAACACGTTAGACACACCTACAGCGAGAAGGAGGTGTGCATAAACACACATGCACACTATCAAACACACAAGTATCCTCCTTGTGCTCCACCTGCCTTTAAAAAGTACCAGAGGCAAATAGTCAATAGACAGTGAGTATTTTATTAGAAATGGCTGGAAAACGTTGGTGTGGTTTATACACCCACTGACACACACACGCACACATACCTGGTGAAGCGGCTGTTGTGGAGCATGCTGAGACAGATCACTCTTTCATGGTGAAGCAAGCAGCCTCTGTGTACCTTTGCTCCACGGTGCTGTTTACCACATCTCTCTGTGACTCTCGCTGCCACGTCAAATGACTGCCTGGGTGCTTGGCTCGCTCCTCTGGGAGCCTCGTGGCCGAAGAGCCTGACTGTGGTCACTCTGCTTTGACTCTGAAGATTCTCTGCAACTTTGCTATTTGCAGCTTGTAATATGCCTGGGTTTGAGTGTTTACTGAAACTCTAATGGCAGCTAGGAGGTAATCGGATATCTTCGGGTCTCTGAAGGCTGAGGCCAAGGACTGTTCACCTGACAGATGAGGACATACTTTGTACTGAGCTTTTGTGCTGTTTTTAAATGATACAGCTGAAAAATGAGTGGATTTCTTTATAGAGGAAGGTAAGCCTTTGCAACAGTGCTTATGATGAGTCAGTTTGATGAATGTGCATGGTTTGTGAAGTGTGAGTGTGTTGTATTTCTTTGTTCTGTATAGGAATGTGTGAGTGTGCTTTTATAAATGTAACATGTAGAGAAAAGATTTTGTTCTGAAAGCAGATTGAGTAAAAGTCTCATTTACCTTTCAGGAGAAAAGAGAGCTGTTGTGTCAGTATTACACTAAAATTAGCTCAGCCAGCTGCAGTCATTTCAACGTAAACAGCTGAATTATCTGTGTCCACTGTTGTTATTTTAACCCCTTCAGGCATGTGACAAAACATTAGTCATGTTTTATTTCTCATACTAAAAGTAATTCATGCTATTACACTAACAGTGTAATATATTGTGTCATCCAGTTGGAACTTATTCTTAAAACTGATGAGATGACTGAAAACTTCACGATTTGGTGGCTGCTGCGGTCCAACAAATGGAAATATTCTACATGTTATTGTCTGGGGTTAAAGTGGAATTTGGCAAGTGGGACGCTAAGTTCAGGGCAGCCAGGGAGCAACTACATTATATTACAATTTAGAAGCCTTTGTTACATTTGCTACTATCCAACCCGTGGCCACCTGAAAGCTGAAATTTGGCATCTGTTGTTAAAAAGCTTAATACCACTTTAGATTCAGATTCACGTTAAATTGAAATTGATGACATCCTCAAGAGCAAACTTCGGTTACTTATTGAAAACTTAAATATGCAATTATTTTGAAGCATTATTACATTTCTTTTCAAAGGTCAACAAGACATGAAAACTGCATGTACAAAATATTTAGTCAAATCAAATGCAAACTGCCTAAAAGATTGCTGACTTTACAAACAAATACGATTTTAAAACCTTCTCCCATGGTAGTTACACTTCCACCACTATCTTTCTATTGAGAATTTGCTCAGAAATTACAATTCAGAATTGAGTGCTTTCTCTCTTTCTTAAAATGTATCTGTTGCTAACCACGGAAACCGCCATATGGATTAATAAATGAACACAAACAGAAGCAGAGCAAAAGATGAAGGTTTCATCCAACCTCTCCAGTGCTAAAGTCCCTTCGTCTAACCTCACAATACAAGAAAAGAAGGCCGTTGCATCACTGAGCAAAAACAAAACATCACCATATTACCAGCCGACAAGGGGAGGTGCACTTTTGTTCTAAACACAATGGATTATCACACAAAAATTACTACACTCCTTAGTGACAACAGTACCAATGAAGCATTAAAATGAGACCCCACAAGCGACTACAAAAGTCAACAGTTGCCTGCAAGAACTTGAAAAGGATAAAGTCATTGACCGCCCTACATACCGTCGTCTATACCAAGGGGATGCTATACCCTGTATTCACGGACTTCCAAGGATCCATGAAGAAGGACTCCCACTCAGACCCAGTGTTAGCAGTATAAACTCAGCTACCTACAGCATTTCCAAACACCTTGCCACCATCCTTGTGCCCCTTGTGGGGAACAACCCCATCACATCAACTCCACTGACTTCAACAACAAGGACCAGAAATTTGCACTTGGATCCAGATGAAACCATAGTGTGCTTTGATGTGGTTTTACTCTTCACTTGCATACCTACAACTGAGGCAGTTGAGACTCTCAGAAAACAACTACAAGAAGACAGCTCCTTGGAAAACAAAACCAGCTTCACCCCCAACCAGATTTGCACACCGTTAGGTCTCGGTCTTATCACCACATATTTTAAATACAACAAGGGTTTCTACACACAAAAACATGGATGTGCCATGGGCTCCCAAGTGTCACCTATTGTAGCCAAACTTTACATGGAGGAAGTGGAAAGAAAAGCTCTTGTCTCTTTTAAAAGGACAGCACCAAGCCATGGGTACAGATACATGGATGGCACCTGGGTCAAAACTAAAGCCCAAGAAGTTGAATCCTTCACCGCTCACATCAACTCATTAGACAGAAATTTAAAGTTCAACAGGCACAAAGGATAACAGTCTGCCACATTGAGGAAAATGGAAACCTTAGCATTGCCACAAGCCCACACACACAGACCAGTGCCTACTCTTTGACACCCACCATCCTCTGAAACACAAACTTGGAGAAATCAGGACCCTGTAACACCGGGCAGAAAACATTCCCTCTATGCCAGAAGGGAAAAAGAAGGAACACACACATGTAAAGAAAGCTCTTAAAACATGTAGTTATTCTAATTGGGCTTTCATAAAATCACCAAAGTTGCACAGAAAAGAAGGTCAGACACCAACTAGAGAGGATCAGAAGGACAAATGGAACTATACTGTCATCCCCTTTTGTAGCAGGTTTATCAGAGAAACTCAGGAGAGTCTTCTCCAAGCACGAGATCCCAGTATACTTCAGACCCAGCGGCACCCTCAGACAAGAACTGGTTCATCGCAAAAACAAAAATCCCAAACACAAACTAAATAACATTGTGTGTGCTGCACAGTGCAGAGAAGAGTGCTCAGACCTCTACATTGGACAAACCAAACAGCCACTTCATAAATGCATGGCACAACATAGAAGAGCCACCTTGACAAGACGAGACTATATCTGCATCTAAAGGTTAAAGGTCACTGTTACGAGGATGCAAATGTTCACATTTTGGACAGAGGAGACAGATGGTTTGATAGAGGAGTGAAAGAGGCCATCTATGTCCACTGTGAACGACAGTATTTGAACAGAGGGGGTGGCTTGCGACACCAACTGTCTGCCATCTATAATCCAGTTTTGAGATCCCTTTCCAGACACCTTAACGCCCAATAACATCTTGCGTCATTTGATCTCAGTAAGTCACATGATAGGGTCAGGCAAGGCCTCATGGGTTCACCCTAAACCTTGGTTGATCAGGGATCTAGAGAAATTTTCTTAGGCTGTCATGGAAATCAAATGGGGTGGCCAAATCAAAGCATTTTTAAAAAAACAAAAATGCAATACATATTCCGGTGTTACGTATGGTTAAAATGATTCAAATGCAGTAGGTATACGTTTCATATAAAATCACACAAAAAACATAAAATCCTAGTAGTAGTTATATATTTTTACTGTAAAAACCACAGACATGTTTCGTAAATTATTTTCATAAATTGAAATACAAATGTAAATTGTAAATTTTGAAAACTTATGCACAAATTTTGTAAATATTAAAGTTATATACAACTATTTATCTAAAAATGCAGCCAATGCAATTACACATAATCCTTTTCTACTCTACTTGAGCACTCAAAGCACATTAAACATCATGCCCCATT